AATATATATATATATATATATATATATATATATATATACGACCACGGAGTATCCGCCTTCTTCTCCACTTTACCTTTCGCTACTGCCAACCAATAACATCAACTAAGGCGATTTTTCGAAATGACAGCTCTCCCGCTGCTGAACTAAACTGAACACGAACCAAAATTAACTGTACCTGTCCACTACCCATCCCCAATGACGTGCACACGCACACATACATACATACATATATACATACATACATACAAACATACATACACCTCTTACCCAATGCACTCAAACGTTGATAAAAAATCCGGAGAGTATGTGTACAGCATTTCACCATATTGCACAAAAACTCTCTCGAAGGCCACCGAATGAATGCATCGTTGTGCAATGCGCTAAGTGCCGATCGGTTAGGGCATTATTATCCCAATATAACTGACATTGAGTGTGACGTAGACAACCGTTTCTCTTCCAGTTCAGTTTTTACTTCAAATGCTGCAATATGTAATTTTCGGAGCCAAGTTAAGAAATTATTTACATGAAGAATGATTTTATCTTAAAACAAGCATTATAAAAAATAATGTACAAAACTACAACCCACAACACAATATCAAAAATTTATCAGTTTGTTTCCATCTCTTCTTCCATTTTCTGCTCAACTTCTCCAGTGCTACTGGCCTGCTTTTTCGATTGCAAGGGAGCACGTATCAGATACACCTTCTTTCGAGCTTTCTGCAGATCACCAATACGTTTGACAGCTTTACCGGGTTGCAAGGTTTTTCTGATATGCTCACCATAACGTTTTTCACGCAACGCTATTATTTCTTTAGCGGCATCAACTGCAAAACACAAAAGTTATACTTGCATAAAAAGCATCAATAAACTATAGAGCGAGAGAGAAAACAAATCGTTGGATCTTAATGAAGAATAACGACATGTGTCTCTCCACAACGCTAAGATAAAAGTAAATAAATTTGACAGTGGTAGGCTTGGTTCAGAAATAGTAGCTATCTTTTCAGAAGGTAAAATAATGGTAAAACAAAAGGAATCAGTCCGGTTAAGAGAAAAAAAGCATTAGCATTGTAAACTTCAAAATATTCTCGAACATTAAGAGATAGAATGACAGCAATCCCTCGAGAGTACTATCATACAAGTCGATAAAGAAGTCTGTTACTAGTTTTAAGATACAATGCATTAAGTAGAAACATAAACTACTACCTTATCATGACAAAACAGCTTGAGTAATACTTGTCTCAGTCAGTGAGCGACTTCTGCCATTATAATATTTATAATTTTAACTAAGACACACCTGCTTCACGCCACAACTGACGCTCATACTTCAGTGGTTCATTACGTCGTGCTTCAACATTAAATGTGCTATCATTCTTGAGTTCCTTCCCTCGTGCCATACGAGAAGCTTTCGTCCATCCTGTCTTTCTCGGATTACGCTTCTTCTTGAACAATTTGTGACATTTTGAACGACAAAACCGAAACACCTGAAGAGTTCCTGTTAGGTCAGATGTAATCTCACAGTTCAATTTATTTGAGCATTTAGCCATCGGTCATGGATGATTCCAGTCATTTAATTTGACCGCAACAAACGATATCAAAATGTCACTTAATTCAATTTAGCTGAACGGACAAGTAAAAGTCGCTAAGGTATTACGAAAATTAAAAACGGAGTTAAAGTGTGTCCAGTCCTACATTCCACTTCTTATTTAACATTCTTCTACCCATTTCTGATTTCCAGAAACAAATCGAAACTTTTAACAATAGCAATCTGAAACTTACAGTGCAATCATTTCTGACGAATGTGATCCCATGGCCAGGGTATATATTGGAGGAACAAAAGTAACACTTTTCAATTCTCATTCTTCACGATCTAAATTGTTTAAGTTGAAATTCAATTGGAAAAAAGATCCAATGAAGAATTGTATCATGAAATGGAACTAGAAACTTACGACGCATTCAACGACCAAAAAAAAAAGGCACAATTATACAGTTATTCATAGCTACGGCAACTCATGACGACAGTGTCATTAAGAATTCCATCAATGATAAAATCTGTTCAGGATCCAATTAAGCCAGCATTGGAAATAACTGTTGCATAAGCATGCGCAACCCTACACTTCCATGATCTATCCGCTCCTTCCGATCTTCCGACCATCAGGCCTGAAGCTGTCCGGGTATGAAATACCAGTCCTTTTCCCCTGCCTACTTCGGGTTTTTAGAAATAAACGTTTGGAAGAGGTATTGTCTGTTTCGGGAATTACGCGATTCGAAGATGATGGAAACAGTTAGTTCGCGTAAACCTCACGTGCCATTCTATCGCGGTGGGAACGTAGCTGGAAAACTATCAAAGAAGGACTGGGATTCTGATTTTCATGCCACACTTGTTCGTGACGGAATCAGAAATAGAACACATGATAAAAGAACTTATGGGGTTGTTATGTCGAAGGTGTTCAGTGCGTGTACGTTTGTCTGTATTTGAAGCTATGTTGTGTTGTGAGACACAGTGGTTTTGAAGAGAATCAAGGATTGAAAATATTGAGAACAGTATTAGTTAGAGATTGAATAGTGGGGTCAGCGAAAAATGACGAGATTGGTAAGATTAATCAAGAAATGCGTTGCTGAGAAAATATTCTTTGTAATTTTAACATGGAATAGCGAAATATACTTACTGGCGAGGAGAGGACAGAGACTGATGGAATTCGTGTTGGTTAATGTTGATTTTCCTTTGTCATTGATGGTACTCCCAGAAATGTTTCATCAGATGCGAATTAGCAACAAGATGAAATAATTGTAAAGGAAGACGGCCTAAGAAGCAGTGAAAGAGTGGAATATTGATTTTTTCAGGCTTTGGTAGATAGTCACATGTATTGTCGACAAATGGAACGTGGCAGAAGGTTGAGACGTGGTATGGTACGTGAAATTTATTGATTCCTGATAAAATCCAAATGTTTCGTGCATTTTGAATCATTAAGATAATTGCAGGTACCGAAGTTGGAAAGACGAACTGTTTGGCGTGATCATAGTTTGAGTCCTGCTGTTGAAAGAAGCCAATATGCGGCAGAAACTGCACTTGATTGCTATCAGAAACGTCCCGAACGACGTGATAATTTTATGGTAGATAAAGTTATCCTTAACATATAGTTTAAATACTTTAAAAATATAGCTGTTTATTTTATTAAGTGAATTTTTTCGTGGAAGGTTAGGGATGGAAAATTATTTCCTGAGAAGGAAGTGTTGTAGACACTTCTGTGTTACTTATCATGATGCTTGTTTTTATGCATCTTCGAACAGGAGGAATATCATTGCAAAAAGCAACGCAGATTGGCCGGAGACGTTGATCTCCAAAAGTTCACGCCGTTTTTAAGCTGAAACTGATTACATTATGAAAGTTTTGTTATGAAATCAATTCGAATTTATGTAGAGCGAACGCGCGGTTAAAGCGGCTTCATTTAATGGTCTTTCATATTCAGCGTTTTAATTTTGTATCGATTTTCCATCATTCATCTATCGATCGAACCACAAAACTAAGAGGAGCATTTTAAGAATGCTTGTGAGCAATGAAGTTAGAATCGACGTTGTATAACAGAAAATCCCTTGAAATTATTACGTATGGATTCGTGATGTCTCTTATCTTCTAACTAATGTTGTTTGGTTTCATTTCTCGTAATATCCCTTGCTGACGTCTCTTCTAATAGACGTTTTCTTAGTGGGGTGATACGCTTTCATCCAATACTACTAACTGAACTGTGTCGACTATTATTTTGTCATGAAATGCAGTAGTCGTGTAAATGACCATTTTCTTAATGGATGAGGAACGTACATATTGGATATTTCAGCAGTTTGGTTCAGCAAGTTAAGTGCAGGACTTTCCGCTGCTTGTGCATAGGTCTCATTGTCACGTTCGTTACTAAAATCTCAAGAATCAACACTTTGTCATTTCATATGATCTTTAATGGAAACAACACTTCTTGGCATATACGTTAATGAAGTCAGGTAGTGCATCATGCACTTAAATACAATTTTTCTGTATGTATGAGAGGGACGAATCAGAAGCGGTGACATACAATTTGAAAATTCGTGCATCATTGAATTGGGCAGTGTGGTTGGTTTGTTGATACTGAAGTACTTGTCGTTGATGAAAAATCATAATACGAGATCGTTGATGAAAAATCATTACGAGAGAAGCTGGGATTTTTTGAACAAAGATAAGGCAGTTGTTGTGTGTGGATTGTAAAGGAATATCCATACTTGGAAATGGAAGTTTATAAGTAGATTCCGCTTTTGGATATGAGAATTAGTCTTTGTTTTTTGCCAGAGGCTTGTGGCAGTGTGGAAGATGTATAGCGTTTGTAGCCTTGGTATTTGTTCATCGTTTTAACATATTGAATGATATTTATTTTTTATAAGATTGCTTTGGCAGCTTTTTTGCACGTGTGATAATGCACTATGTTTCAGCACTTTGTTTTTTAACATCCCAGATCTGTTATATATGTATGCATAACTATGCGGAGACATCGGTAACAAAAAGCCTAGAAATCTCCAGAAAAAAATTTTTCACCGAAGTAAAATTGAAATTCAACAAGAATTGAAGATGAATGAAAGCAGTTCACCAAGTGACCGTCAAAGACGTCGGTACAGAGAACGGCTGAATAGCAACAGTGAGCTAAACAGATCGACTACCAGGATTTCATCTACATCAGTTAGAACTGGACCGATGGAAAATCGCGAATATTTGTATGTTGTACATTCAACTTTATTTTGATTTCTGTTTTCTACATTCATGTCATCAGAGGTCAGACGGGTTTTGTTATCATCCATGATTTTTATTTCTGGAAGTCAAACTGAGTACCTAGGTGGATAAGTACCTATGTTCTGAAAGCAAGACAGTATTAGGATGGCTTAAGATAAGACTTCTGCTGGCTTAGGTTGACGGTTGCTGTAGATATCGTATTCGTCGTGCTCACTCAAACTATTCTTGTACTGTCTAGCACAAAGCGTTTGTAAGTGGAGCTGCAGATCATGTTCTTACCACATTTTAAATTTATTCCCTTACTGTTGCTTCTCTTGACGACAGTTGACAAACGTTTAATAAAAGCTGTACGTTGTCTGTAAACCGAAGGAGGAACAATAGTCTGTAGTGGTTGTTTGAAAGTCGACAAGATTGAAGACTATGAATACAAAGAAACGTGCAGCAACTGAATTATGAACCATTCTCTTCAGTTTTTACTGCTGCTGATAATTTTCCATATCGATAATTTGAAACAGAGATAATCACAGCTTCTATTTTGGAGAGCTGTGTTGCTCACATCAACGATGTGGTGTGTTATATCCTAAGGCATTTTGCTGAACGAAGAATGAAATTGCAGTATGGGTTTACATCTACATTCCATGTGGCATTTCATTGTTCATGTGGCGGCTTTGGTGAACAGGTGGCATATTCTGTCATCAACAGGCTTTTTTCGAAAATTTGATTTTACTAGATACGAGTGGATTCTGAATGAAGTTGTGAAGATTTTGGATTTTTTGGATGCTAATGCTGATACTAATCTGAACGTTGGCATTTAAACTGAAAAAAAAAAGATTGGAATTATTTTTGTCGAATATTGGTAAGGAAATGGAGCCGGTTTTCATGGTGGTCATTAAATAGATTGTATTCAGACATTCTTTACTGGTTCTTTGTTACCTGTTTCACATTCATTTACTGCTACTCCAATCTCAAAACTTATTTCGCATCTTTTTCTTGAAAAAGTCTCGGGCTAGTAGTTGATTCTACCTGATTCTGTGTTATAATGCACAGTGGTCGAAAGTTTCCTAGACCAGCTTCAGTTTGAATAAAAGGCAGAAATTCGACATTGGTGTAGATGTTTGTTATGGTTGTACGAGACTTATTGGAAATTTTATTCGAGAGATATTCATTAGGATGTAAGACTCTAATTAGAATGAAATACATTAAGGGTGTCTGGGGTTTTCTTGTGGATGGATAAGTCCTGAGAATGCTAATCAGGTGAAAAATCAGATGGGACATCGCAGCAAGTTGATTTCTTGAATTTTTATTATTGGAATGCACCGAACCGTACTAATTATAGTGATTTCGAGAAATCTTGTTATGCATTTGATCCGGCATCAACCAAGTGGTCGCTTTAATATTTATTTTATTGAACACAAGAAATGTCGTGTTGGGAATGGAAAACTTAATGGCTCCTATTAGATGCTGACTTTGGAAAATGTTAACTTTGTTTTGTAGAAGCAGTAAAATGATGTGGTCGGTTCGGTAGTGAATATGACATTTTGGATTCTATGAGCGCTGAATTGTTTGTATTTGAGCAGTTCAAGTTATGATAAGCAGGATGGATTCCGAAAATTGGACAGTGAATGATTAAGGTGAAGCTTGTACAACAGCTTAATGTTGTGGAATGGAATTTCAATCGAAATGTGTATGAGGAACATTCCTACAATGAGTTCGAACCAATAGACAAAGATAAGGAGAACATATCTCGACAGAACTGAGCAATAACTTCTGTGAGAACGAAACTGTGCGACGGGATTATTGTCATAAAAAAGGCATGGAACTGGAAGAATTACTGACAGTTATCGCGGTTGAGTTTTAATGTGGAAACCGTTGTTAATGTGTTTTTTTTTCTTTTGCTTCGGCTGAAACACTTCCCTGTAGCAGATCATTTTAAGGGAACATGAATTAACAAAACACTATCGGGTACGAGATCGACCCATTGCTCTGGAAAGAGTTAGGAATGAAGGAATCCGTTTGCATGATGACGTTAATCGTAATGTCAACCAAATACAACCATCAGAATGTGGCGGTGCACGGCTGCAGAACTATCATATGCAGATCGAGTCTCAGCTCGCTGCAGAAGAAACTGCTGGGAAAATTAGCAACAGTGATTTTTTCTCCAACTGTTTTTTTTAGATTTCTATTCATTTTGCTACAGTTTCTTTTCGAGATTCTCACCCATGTAAAATTTTTGAGAGTTTAGAACTTGTATTGCTTTTTCTTTTCAAAAAAGTTCAACAACTATATTTGACGTGTTTCGGCATAAGTGCTCCCAGCCGGATGATAAGTAAACAGTGACTAGTTTTCTAGTTTAGGCTTGGCAAATTGGCGTATAGAGGATTTGCTGGGTGGACAGTCAATATTGAACGCCGATAGCATACAGAGTCTGTTTTTTATTTCTGTCAATTTTTTTTTTGGAATGACTGGTCTAATGGCTTAAAAGTTGACTGACATCGAGAAGCACTGTAATTTCGAAGCAGCATTTAGCTCATTATTTTTTCTCTGCAATATTTTAAGACCAAAATCTCGTTTTGTTCTCCCACTTTATCTTGGTCAACTAAGAAATACTTGGTTTTTTTTTTTTAAGTACCAAAAATAACTGCAGCATTTCATTTTTTGTTTCTACTACTGTTTTTTTCATAAGATTTTCGGGTAAATTTCTGCAAACTTTTCGTATACTGTTATGCTCTTCATGGATCTATCAAAATTCGAAATTTAGATGCACAGACGTGGATCGCCAACGATAACAGTTTAAGCCCCGCACAAGTTTTGCGTGCTCGTGAACTTCTTCAGGAATTGCTGGTTACAATCACGATGAAACCGGATGTGCCGGCCGCTGGTAGATTTATGGAAAATCTAACTGGTCATTTTTCGTGATTCAAAATTGCACTGATTTGTTTAAAATGGCTAGGTTTTTATCAAAATAGAATTTAAGGAAAAATGTTTCTAATACGATGCACCAGGCTATTTATATCACAGGACGTAGTTTTCCAGAAGATAGACCACCGAATTTCTTTACTGATCGTCGAGTTTCTGATTGCATCCCATCACGCAGTTTTTCTCAACAGAACATCCAGTCTACATTACGGAATGATACTGCAGTATATGAACGAGAATTGCCGGTTATGCAAAATTCCTTACCTGTCGGTGTGCCATTAGCACTTCCGACGCAGAACTGGTGTGACGATTCCTCAGCAGTGCATTCCGATTCTGGTGAAATACCCATGAGTTCCCGTGATATGCCCAAAAATTCCAATTTTCGTATGTTTTAACACTAAATAATTTCCATTTAATCATCCTATTTAAATCTTAATTAATTCATATCACAGGTTTTATAATTCATATTTCTATTTGTGAATTCTATTATCTTATACTTATTATTTATTGTGCTGCAGGCTGATTTTCATCAAATATACTACATTAAGGAACTTTTTTCAAAAAATTTACTAGTAAGTGATTACTCCTTTTTCTCCACAGCAGGTTATGGTTCACGATGTGATTATCCAACCCTATGTACGGAAAAGGCTAAGTTCGAAAAGAGGAATGCCAGGGCACATGATCCGATTATTTTAGGGTTGGAAAAGCGAAGATCACTTTATCATGATCGTCGTCGAACATCCCGGTCTAGAAGCCGTAGCCTAGGAAAAGATTACGGTTGGTACTGAAATATTTCCCGTAAAACATACTTTTCCGGAGGCTACAAGTTATCGTATCCTTTTACTGGAACATATTTCATTTACTGAAAAATCTTTTCCCTTCCAGACACGGGCTTTGGAAAACGAAGAGTGCATATGAAATCTCGAGGTTTTATTGATGTCAGAGTAAATCATCTACAAAAAGGATCTCGAAGGAACTATTTTCCACATGAAGTTTGTTATTTAATTACTACATTGCCTATTAATAAAATTGAGAGTCGAATTGACTAAAGCTTATAATAGGTGCTCCTTTCAAGCCTCAATTGTTAGAAAACTATTTGAAATCCCGTGCTATTACAGTTTTAAGGACGAGAACGTGTTTCAGTATTTCTAATCTGATGGGGATTTCAGACAATTCGTAATCATCACAGAGAAAGTAGAGGTGAAAGAAGTTTGCGGTATTCGTCGCCTCTTATACATGCCACGAAAAAACATCGGCGATAAAAATGTTGGCGACTATTCTCAATATGTCTAGCCTATGACGTCATCTCATTTTTCAATTAGAATCAGATTTGTACCGTTTATTTTAAATTATTTTTGCTAGTGTGTAAGCAGCGAAAATTATATTTTACCAGTTCTCGTTATTGTTTTTAAGGCTGCTAGAGAATCAATCAAAGACTTATCGGCGTCTTCTTTGCTATATGCTTCATCATGTGCTACTTTTCAGCTTCTTTTATGTATGTTTCTGCTCTTATATAATATTTTGCATCATTCCTTCTTTTTGTTTTAATAAATTCATACTTTTTTTTGTGCAGTATTATATGTGATTAGTTCTTGCAGTGAGAGCTTTCATCCTAGTTTCAAGTCTTTGAGGAAATTTGGTTTTGTATAAAATGATATTTGCCCGAAAATTCATCCTTGTTGTGATGTTACAATATATAGAAACTTATTTATTGATGTAAACAGGTTATTCGAAGTTTTACTTCTTACTCTATACGATTACAATGTTGAAGAAAGCGCGAATACATGGATATTTAAATATATAGGCTTGAAGTGATTGCAAATTAAATCAATTTTTACTGTTGCATCTATTAAGAAGATGAGGCAAACCAGTTCGTCGGATTGATGTTATAGTGCCAACAATGACTGCGTTAACAAATGAGATGGAGAAAATAATAAGATTATCTGAATCAAGTTAGTTTCTTTTCACATTTAATTTAATAAGTCTGCGTCATTAGTGGGTGCACAGCACGTCATGTTACGAGTAAGACCTCTAAGACATGATTGCAACGGTTCCGCAGCGGAAGTTTGATGGATTGTAACCCTAGCAAAAAGCAATACTTTGTGTCATTGAGAGGTAATCCAACAATTAAAACAGATTACTTCAGTGAGTTGCTAATGAATGCAAACGTATTAGTTTATAGCCTGCAGTGCGACAATTTGCCGTTGTTTGCAAATATTTGAATCAGGTGGTATAGTTGCGTTGCCGACGGATACGTTATATGGCGTGGTTACAACCTTGTCAAATTCTGATAAACTTTACAAGTTGAAGCGTCGCAATCATTTAAAACCTCTTGGTCTGTTTGTTAGCAACGTTCGAGATGTTCAAAGGTTTGTGAGTTTATTTAGTCTTCCCATGACTCATAATAAATGTTAATGGTAAGTAATATATACAGAAGTGATATCTTTTTATTAAAGTATACCACTGAGAAAAGGCTATGAATAGTAAGTAAATGTAACAATCAAAATAAATGTTAATTTGATATTACTAGGTGGTGTCGTCAGACGATCGACAATAGCCAACTAAGGACACTTTTACCCGGACCAGTGACATTAATCTTTGAACGTTCTACTTTTCTTCCACGCATTTTCAATCCGGAACATGGAACTGTTGGTATTCGAATTCCTGATCACGATTTTGTTCGTTCATTGATGACACGCTTAGATGATGTTCCGCTTGCACAAACGAGTGCTAATATTTCCAATAATCAAAATAATCCAATATGCATTGAAGTAAGTGTGGGACACGTTGTAGCAAAATTTACTTCATTAATTGAAATTCTTTTCGGATGCTATTTTAGGTATACAATGTCTAATTATACCATTACCTTTCTTTTTATGTTTCTTCTATCAATTTATTGTATTGCTGAATTAATTTTAAACGCTTATTCTTTTAAAGGATTTTGATTTAGTACAGGCTATGAAGTTCAATATCAAAATTTCCAACATTTAGGGATTTTTTTTGGAAGTTCTGAATTAGTCAAGGACTGCCGCGGTAGCATATTTTTCGTTCATCTCGCAGAAATCTCAATTTATAGGATTTCAAGGATTTGTGGTCAGAATTGGATTTGATAATAGATGGTGGCGTAATATTGCGTCCAGATGGTAAGGTGAATCACGAAGGTAGTACAGTGGTAAATCTGAGTATTCCTGGTACTTACAGCATAATCCGAGATGGATGGTATATTTTCAGTAAATTGATGTTATAAATTAGTTATCTGGAATATCTATGTTATTGATTTTCTTTACCAGATGCAAAAATTATAAACGAATTTTCAGCGCGAGAACGGCGACGGAGGAAAAATTACGAGATTGCGGACTGATTGGTTTATCAGATGGTGATTATGTGAATTAAAATGGTTACATAGGCTAAAATCTCGCAAAACTTCTCTTGAACGTTCTCGAACTTTTATATTGTATACGTTTTCTTTATTACTTCGAGAATGCATAACAAGTGGCAAGCTTTTTTTGGATTGCTCTTCTTCCACAGTGGAGTTAAGATCACTGGCATGAAATTCATGCAGCAATAGGTCAATTGCAGCATGATCGCCACTTCAGGCCAAATCTTCTTCTTCTTCTTCGTTCCGGTGTATGGTGTAGCTTTTTGATTGTCTGATCATTCTGAGAATATGGCGCTACGTACTGGCCATTCTTCTTTATTTCAAGGATCTGTAAATAATTCAGAAAATTCTCATTCAGGTTTAGTACTCTGAATATTATACATTTCATAAGAAATTTTAAAAAGAAATCTAACTTTGATTGGGAAATACCATACCTGTTCTACTAGTAGGTCAAATGAATCTTCAATGCCATAGTTTGCTTTCGCCGATGTTTTCAAAACATTCAGGAAGCCTCCTTTTTCACGATATTCCTCCAGCTTTTCATCTGTTATTTTGTTGTCTAGATCAGCCTGAAAGGGAGGAAGTTTTAATTGTTATTCAATAACAGTAACATGTATTTGCAAAGAATAGGCTAACTTCATAAAACCCAACATTTACTGTTTAAATACGTTCCGTGTTAAAATTTTTTTTTCCGAAAAGTAACCTACCAATAAAGCAGTTATAAAATCAACTTATTGTTATATTTATCTATTGTTGGGTAAAAATTTTTAAAGAATCAAGTTTTTGTTGAAACTTGATCCAGAAACTATAAGGCTTGGAAATCCTCGTTGTTACTATGGCCATCACTCCATAATTGATCCAATAAAGTTCCTTCTTTAACTGATCGTTATTTAAGATGAAGAATAGGGTACCTTATTAGCAACAAGTATAGAAGGTAATGGTTTTTCAGTGGCAAGAGTAATTTTGCTATCCAGATCGGTTTTCCAGCGCAACGCTCCATCATAGGTATTTTGACGGGTACAATCAAATACTACAATAGCGCCATGAGCATCCTTATAGTACACTCGTGTCATATTACTAAATCGATCTTGACCTAAATAAAAGCATAATATTGTTACGCTTGAACATTATTTAGGAGGGACTTTTCGTAATAAAATTTTTATATTAGGTCCGATACGCAAATTTTGTTAAATGTCTTTCCTAAAAAATTTTTTTGAAAACTTAAAAAAATTTTAAAAAAAGAAAATTATTTTGTAGTTTAAATATGTTAAGATGCAAGGAAAAAAAAAAGGGTTTCGCAGATGAAACTCTGTTTGATATATTGAAGTATTTCACCAAACATTTACCTGAAATGTCCCATAGCTGCAGTCGTAGTGTTGTACCATCACTCAAGAGCAATGTTCTTGTTGCAAAATCAACACCAACCTAAAATTTTGAACCTCATTATGTGAACTGTATTATTTATTATGTGAATTTCTCCAGAGATATTTTCTTAAGATCCTTCAAGGCAAGTTTCCGAAAGATTATTGCAACTACCGATCAAAAACAAGGACTACATTGGAAGGTTCAAAGTTTATGTAGATATATGGCAAACCCTATAAACTTAAACAAACCGTAGCCTTGTAATGCTGTGTAAATAAATTATGTGCATAGCGCTGCACGATTGATGACTTGCCGGTGCCAACATCGCCAATAATTAAAATTTTAAACAAAAATTGATCCTTAGAAGGTGTCGCATATCCGTTTAATGATGTTGACGGCTGAAAACTGGATTTTTTTCTCTTCTTTCGAGTCGGCATTTTCCCTTCTCTTTTATACCTTAACAGTTCTCTTGACACTATTTTTAACTTATGTGTATTATTTGAAGATAGGAAGTGAGGAAAGTTCCCGGAAAAGATGCCAAGTTTGCCCTTACTTTACTGAAATTTAATTTAGTGTTTTTTTTAATGTTTGTGAGGGGTTCGAGGAGTATATTTGCATCACAAATTGAATTTCAAGAGGGAATGCTTTTGGGCAAAATCAAATTTTATATTAGAAAATTCATTTCACTAAATTATGTTTTATTCAAGAATAGAAATTCTTGCTCAAGTTTTCGAACTATCTTAAATTCTAATCAAACAAGTGCCATATTATTGCTTACCTGAGATGAATTCATAAATTAAATCGATGTCGTAGCAATTTTAATTCGAAAATGGCTTGCTTTTCGTAAACAAATCAAATAATGGTGAATGGTGTATTTAGATGACTGAAAGGAGGACTGATAAGATCACCTATGATAACGATAAAAAGGTATGCGACTCCTCAACTGCTTCAACTACCACTACTTCTTGATTAAATGATAACGAAGTATATCGTTAATGCTGCAGTTTATAGAAAATGGACACAAGCTTGTTTCTCGATGATACATATTTCGATAGAGTAGCGTAATATTCTGAATGAAATCGACAAGAGGTGATTATCAAAGAAAAATTCCAACTATTGGTTTATTATTTAATTAATTCTTTTTATGTGCAGGAATAATTGTACAACAGTATGGCTTACAGTACGAATAAAGCAATAGATAGGTTTTAAATTATGAGCCTAAAGTTTGTGGCTGAAGTTGTACTCAACTGATCGTTTAAGAAATCGTTTAATTTCACTGAATGTCCCATTATTTGAGTAAATCAAAGCAGAGAGTAAGCAAATAAGCAAATATTCAATTAAGGAACAATTCGAAATTGAGATTTGAACAATTTCAAATTGAACCTCCAAAAATCAATTTTTGGCCTTTCACATCAATATGTAAGACAAAATCGAACGGATGAGACATTTGATTAAAAACAAATTCTATTCTAGTTCTGCTACAATTAGGAATACGCAATTTGGAAAAATAATTTTGTGCCTTTTAAATCTGAGAAAGTTTCAAACTAACAAAAATATTTGAATTTTAAAAAAGAACTTTCGTCAGAATAGAATAACATTTAAGTTGCCTTCTAAATTATTGTTTCAAAAGAGATTGTTTACATTTTTACAATTATGAATGTTATCATATCACTTTGTCACAATTATTCCCGCACTCATTCAGTGATAACAATTGTTAAGCTTCAAATTTTGAAACAAAAAAAAATAATGCATTTGTTTGGTAATGTTTTTCTCTAACAATAAAAATTTCTCTCATTTTATAGAAATACTTCTCAAGGTAAAAACTTTGAAATCCATGGTGATATTTAATCATCCTTTAATATATCATTGCACTATTTAGCTAAAAATATTGTTAATTATAATTAATTAAATCTTAAATTTAAAAAATTATTACTTATTTAATAAAAAGGATTTTAAGAGAAATTCATTAAATGAAATTTCAGAAATTCATCAGTGCAAAGGAGTATGTTGAATTAATAGTTTGACAATTGATATCTATAAGGATTACTTCATGTGAAATTATTTCGTCACATCAACACTAAGTAACTACTCTTCCAAATAACTTGAATCATTGCATAAATAATTAAAGTTTAGGCATGGAACTAAACATGAAATTAATATTGTAATTTTTGACTTTAAAATACACGGATTTTTTTAGATTAAAAAAGTTTTGCACATTAAATGAAATATTGTATACGATGTAGGGAATTAATTTTGAATAAGTTAAGCATGGTATTGAAACTTTTTTCAGGATTGATAAATGATACCATATCAATCGATGGTGTATTGATTTAATTTGAATTAACTTGATCATTTGTTTGATTTTTAAATTCTAGAAATAATTACAGAGTATTTTATAAATTCGTAAAATAAATTTAAAAAAAAAAAGGAATTTAATATCACATTGACATACATCTCTCTCCCATTCCATTCAGCATTTTTAAAACAAGTCCTGCCTTCATTTTATTTACCATTCAAAATACCTCAGACATTTTGAAATGACTAATACAACAAGCATGAAGAATGCCGCAGCAAATTCAACGATTTATTTGAAGTTACAACAATTCTTCCGCAAATACTTTCTAGAAGGTAAGAGTAATTAGCAATATCCTAGGAAATGAAAACAATCATTAATATCCAGGTATGTGACAATAATTAGCAGTTCTTAAAAGATGAGGTGAGAATAATTAACAGTATCCTAGAAGGTGAGAGCTATTAGCTGTATTGTCACATCAATAATTAGAATTTATCACAAACTATTCATTCAATTTCATTTGATGATAAAACACCAATAAAAAAAATTAATTAAATTTTGACACCTGAATTCAGATGATGTAATTTTTACTACCCCTTAATTTTAATTTTAATTAATAAAAGTTTTTAAATGTTAACTATAGCTTTCATAAATAATTGTCATACAAGATCATTCTTTCATTTCAAATCAATCACTCTAAAACTTATATTGTTCATCGAGTAACTGAGAATAAAAGTTATATTTTATGCTATCAAATATGCCGTATTACTGCATCATACTTTAGGACAAAAATATTCACACGAGGAAACTACAACTATTCAGGAAAATGAGGGAAGCATTGATGAATTGTTGATTAAATATCGGAAATTATTCGGTAGCTGATAAGGCTATATTCAACAAGAAATATTTTATAGAAAATTTCAATAAATTATTAAAGAATTCTCTTGAAACTTTCAAGTAAACAATATTTTAACCAAAAAAGTTAAATTTTGTAAAAAAAAAGTATGGAAATCTTGTCAATTAAACTTCATTCAATTAAAAATATTCTCATAATTAGTCTTTTTTCTTCCTTTTAAGGTTTTCTCATACCATTCATTTTTTTTCAAACAATATACTGGTTACTGGCTTTTCGTTATCATTTATATCATTATTTTGAAAAAAAGTACGTGATGACAATAGTAATGATTTTTGGAGCGCTAATTGGAGGTATGTTTATTACTAATAATTAATTCCAATATTTAGTTACTATTAAGTTTTCAAAAAGTAATTGAACTTTAATTAAATTTGTTGCTAAATTATTGCCTGTCTCGTTCTTTCACTTATTGCTACTTTCCCTTTAATGTATCATTATTCATGCTAAATAATTAGCGATTATTTTAGAAAAGAAATTTTGGTGCGAAATTTTTTTTCGAGCTTTGCAAAAATTATAATTTAATTTGCATATTATCAAATGCAAGAACGATTTTGATCAAAAACAGTTTTTTTGTTTTGCAACAAAATTAACAAAAAGTAATTTTAGAGAATGTGAGATTCAAATTGAACTAAAATGCTAAAAGGACAAATGAAATGATGGTAATGATATGATAATAATTTATAGGAATGACAACAGAAGGTGGTGGAGCTATAGCATTTCCAGTAATGACATTGGCTTTCAATATAAGTCCCATTGTAGCTCGTGATTTTTCATTCATGATACAGTCTTGTGGTATTCCATTTCAAATTAATAATTTTAATTGCTATAATAGCATCTAGAATTCTTAAATCGAAATTAGCAAATTTAAATTAAATAGTACTGACAACGATATAATTATAAATCATTCACACAAGTCATCTTATTACAAAATTTTACTTAATTACTTCGAAATTTACTTAATCTTACTTAATTACTCATAGCAGAAAGTCACTACACTGATAAGAACCAAATTTTATTGATAATTCTATGATTTGTAACATTATCAATCTTCTTCAAAAATGTCATCCATGGAGTAATAAAAAGAGAAGCAAGTAATGAATAATTGAACAGACGATCATAGTGATCTGCAAATGACCGATGGTCAGAAGAAGAGTGTTTCTGATACTTTAAGGCTTGACTGCTGCCTCATTCACAATCTTATTCACTGGAATACTGATTGAATGGCATTCAATATTGTTTTCAACAATTGGTGCCATTTTTGGAGTTGTCTTCGGACTTGAGGTCACTTTCTTGCATTCTTTTTAATAAACTATTGCATCAACTGAAAGAAGAAAAAAACATTATGAAACGTATAGCATTTCACGTATGTTGTGATTCATCGGTCAAATTGTATGTTATGTGCTAACTGAACACATTATGCACATTAAAATATATAGGAATTAGCTAACCAACAATTCATTGATAGCTAATCTTCCTTATTTGACAACTATAAAGTTCGAGCATACCTTTGTGTCATCTTGATTCTGCAAAGCGGAATTTGAAATTTTAAAATTCAACAAATAAGACTTCTTTGATTCGAAATTTTCAGATAGTTGACCCGTTAATGACACCGGCAGAAAAGAAAATGACATTTGTTTCGGTGTTTTTTTCATTTGCAATCGCATTATTTATTTTAAATTCTGAAAGAAAACGTAAAACGTTTAACAAGATTGATCAATTTACGTTATCAAAAGCGCTTATTTTAATTATCAATGGATTTGTTGGAGGTATGCAATTTTTCAAACATTCCATGTCTCAATGAATCAAACACTATCATATCACACATATCGTCCACTATCAAATTTATACATTGCCATTGACGTACTTTAACCTCTTCTAGTTTTGCTGAACATTTCCGAAGTCATTTTATCGCATCAGTCATACTGCGTAAAAGCAGGCAAATAATAATTTGATAAGAGGAGAAATCGAAATCTGAATGTCAACCTTTTCACACTTTTTAACAAAAATGAAAGTCAATTTAGATCTAAAATATCAATCATATCAATTAGCGATACTATTTAAGGTATTTTCACCGGTGTTGCCGGTTCTGGTATTGATGTTTATTCCTTTTCTATACTTACTTTACTTTTTCGAGTAAGCGAAAAAATTGCAACACCAACATCTGTAATACTTATGGCAGCAAACAGTATGGTTGGCTTTTTCTGGCGACAATGCGTACAAAATGAAATTCAACAGGTGATAATTGTTGAATAGAATTTCAAACTAAATGGAACTTACAATTCAATTCAGGTGACAACTTTTTGGTAAAACTAGAACGACCATATCAATTAATATGCTATTTAAGGCATTTTTCATTCTTCATTTTTCACTTTTTGATGCAATCAATTAATTCTTCCACATTTCATTCTAATGCAAAACAGAAACAAAAGCACCTGTATGTAGGAATTTTGTCAGAAATTGTAGAAATATTTCAGGAATCCTGGGAATATTTCTCGGTATGTTTACCTGTAGTTGTAATCTTTGCACCAATTGGCAGTTTTCTTGCATCGCATCTTCATCGACTTACACTTGCATCATTCATTTACATATTGGAAACAGTCGCTTTGGTGAGTAAATAATTCACAATTTCATTAGTTGACGAATATTTGATTCTCCATGAAAACTTCAATTTTGAATGGTGTAATCTTTGGCACTTTCGATTGAATTTCAGGTCAGTGCTTTGATAATAATTAAACCTAATTGGTCGTTACTTATGTTTACATTGATCCTTATCAGTGGTTCATTGATATTTTATATGGTAATAGCTCGATATGGGCAAAAATTAATGTTGCAAAAGATAAAAGCTACCGAAGTGAAAGAGAAGACGAATGATGACGTTATTGCATCGGTCTAGAGATACGACTATTGCTATTGATATTAGATAACAATTGCTATCATAATTTGTCTTCAATGATTAAATCTCTTCCTCATTTAATTTAATCTGACATACAGTAAAATAAAAAAAAAGAAATCAAACAAAAGTCTGGAGCCGAATATTTTAAGCCAGGTATTCTAAGGTATTTTCTGATCAAACAAAGAGTATGACCTAGACTATGAAGATGAATACTTCCAAATGTGTACATTACTGACTTTTCTATCCTTAAGAACATTTCTGATCACAATTTTCATTTACTGCTGGAAAACAGATTATTAAAGAACAGTATTCAAGATGATAAAGGATAGATTAACCATTTTATATCAGAAACAATTGAACATTATCAGTCATGCCGGAGACAATCGAGCATTTGATCATATCAAGTTAATCAGTGCTACACAAGATCATCAACTGTCCTTGAGTCATTCCGATCGTTCATCATACCGTTATTTGGTTTTCAAATTAATTCGCGCAATTACATAATTAATAGAACTTGGGATACAGAGTGAAAACTAAAATTGGTAGTGCACACAGTAATCCTTTTAATGTAGTAATTTTTCTTCGATTGTATTCAGACTTTTTCATTAAGATCATTAAGGTTAGTCAAGTGTGAGGTCAGCACTTCAAATACGTATCCTAAAATCAACTCAACCTTTGAATGTTTGCTTTCATTTGAGAAGTTAATGCTATTTTTCATCTTAAAGAAACATATTAGGTGACAATCAACAAATTATTTAGGCTTATTTTCCTTTTCTGTTTTAAATTCTGTTCAGTAATTATCTGGAATAGGATTTTTTTACTTTCAATTTCATTTAATTAGCAGTGATAGATTTAGCTGCAATAGAAATAGATTGAAGTGATAATTGACAAACATAGTAAATGAGGTAATTTTAACGAGTACTCTTTACAAGAACAAACTTCAGTAGCATTAATCATCACTACTATTTGCCCCATGTTAAAGTAAAAACATTGAGTGATTACTACATTTTAATTATTTTTGATTAAATGCCATACTTTGCGCAACAGGTTATTTCTATTTCTTTCATATCATAGTTATTCTCTGCTGGTTTATCCTATCAAACTGATTGTTGATAATGCTTAACTTATCTGATTATCATTACGGATCAGGCATTTCATGCTGCTATTCCATGCACTTTGTTTCATATCAATCGGACCATCCACAATGTTCGGCCATTCGATATCTATAATTCTTAACAATGATCAGTTATATGTCAAATATATCCAGCCGTATTTGGTATATCCAGAACAAACTGATAATGTTAAAAGTTCGTCTCTCGGATTATTTTGTTAAATGAAAAAATTTCGATCCATTAATCGATCTTGAAATTAACCATATTGAACTAAATTATTATTATAACAATGCAACCTCAGGAATCTGAGTTATTTGCGCTTTACATAAACTGTGAACTATTTTCTGCAATGAACAGTGTAGGAAGGAATGAAATTTGTTGATATTCTGAAGTGATTTGTCCATATTTCTGAACTAATTGCACAGCCAGAAAGTATAACTAAGCCTTAGTCTTATTCTAGGAACTTTTACTACTCATTGAAATTTTCCTGGTTTTCAGTCCAGTTCATTTCAACTAGAAGAATGTCTCCAAAGATACATGAATAAGCACATTATTATCGATGCGTGATATCATGTCCAACATCTATCACCATGGAAATATCATTGAATATGTCGTTTATTGTTGGTTGAATGGATTCCAATGTTCTTTACTTGAAACAGGCTATTACTGAAAAATTACGTCGTAATGGTACGCTTGATAGAATACAGGTATGCCATTTTTATTTCTTCAAGATGCTAATTTATTAGTTCATTTTGAGCTTAGTTGCCAATCAATCATCTGATCATTACCTTAACTGGAAGTTTAAGGCTCGTCAAACTGGATAAATGGAAAGTTTAAGCTTAGTCAAATACAGTTATACCTTAAAAAAACAACGCCAGGTAAGTTACTGCTTTCTGTAACAGTAAGAATTAATATATGCTAAAGGTCCTTCTTTAGATGAAGTTGAAAGTTCAACTGCAAAGTGATATATTCCACTGAGTTTCACTTATGCACACCAATAAGCATATCCAATAGACTTAAGGAGTTAAATGAATGCAAAATATATCAAGCTTTTAAATTACTTATTTGTGAAATGCGACAGTATGCTCAGAAGTTTGGTTGAAAGAAACTTCAGTGAAGATATCTACTTTTAGTCGTTCTCATTAGTAGTTCAAAACTTTAGAAGCATGCCGGGAAAAAAAGATTGGCAAATTTATGTTAAAATACAGGCAGAATTACGATGTGCTGTATTTCTTGCAATTGAAAGTAATAACGATAATGAACTGGAGGCAGAAATGGATGAAAGTAAATTGGACCAGAGGTTTGGCTATTCCATGATTTATCATTTCCTGAGACAAAATCGATTCCTAGCAACGGCAGCTGTCTTTGAGAAAGAAATACATCAGGTAACAAAATTACTGTTCAGAAAGTATTCTGCTAGCTAACTTCTTTTTTTTTGAGGATTGTTAGATTTAACCGCACTTTTGAATATTTCCATTTAAATTTTAGAAAATTATCTCCCTGGAAGAATTGAAAAAAGAAGATGCTGCGAAATTATGTTTGCAATTTCTTGGAGATAGCATTAGTATATCCAATTTAACCTTAACTGGAAATGAACGAAACATGAACGAAATACATTCTACTAGAAACGGAAGTAACGAAACGAGCAAAACCGACTCGAATTTTATCTCATTTCTTGAAGAAAATGATAACAAAAAAAGCGATGTAAAAGCTATCGAAAGGCAACAAATATCTAATTCTGAATCGAGAACTTTAAAAAATTTTACTTCAGAAAGTGAATTGTCGATTGATGAAAATGGAACCTCGGACAAGAGGTACTTTTGTCGTTATTAATATAGAGGAAAGCTTATTTCGGCATTTCATTTAGCGTCTCAGTCGCCCTTTTGTGTCATAAATCATCCTTTCATCATATTTGCATATTTGAAATGCAGCGCGCTTTTTCATCGATGAGTAAATGCAAAGGTCACCTTAAAGAAATACATAAACGATTTGCCCCATTGATAAACAGTAAATAGTTGGTGTGTTTGAAGAATTACACCGAATTCCCATGAATTTTAAAAGAATTCTGCAAAATTCGAGAAGATTCTAGAAGATCTGATAGATTGTAAACTGACTTGCTAATAGGTTGACAACCAGTTGTTCCTTTTTATCGCTCGAAACTTCCTAAATCAATTCTCATCCTCTTTCAACCACTCCTTATCAATGCTTATGAGTTGTCTAGACTGGAATCTCATGAGACATCACTCTCATATATGTTTTTCCTGAATAGCATTGTATTAAAAACATTTTCTAATAATGCTTTTTAATTTCTGATTTATTTCTTTTTCAATTTTAATTTCAACCATTTCAAAAAACTATTATTTTTCTTTTTATTCAATAAACAGCATCAGAAAGAAAAGGAGAAATGAAAAGATAACACAGAATGGTCGATCATTCGAGAAATCAAATAACGATGATAAAGCAGAAAAAGACAAGAAAGGAAGTAACTCAAGTTCAGAGTTGTCAACGATTTCTGAACAACCTCAACAGCAACAAATTCCAAAGACATTCCTAGTGTCCAAAGATCAGCAACAACCTACCAAATATAACACATCTTTGTCATCATCCCATCCCAGAAAGCTTCCACCGATTAAACCATTAGCAAATGAATCAGCACAGTCAACAACACTACCTTCCATACCATCACTGAATGACTCATCAAACCAAACCAGAACAGTACCATTTTCACGTCTGCTAGACACCATACTAAATTCACCATCATCTAACAAAAACGAAACGGGTAAATTCCCTAATTTAAATCAATTCAAGAACTAATGCTATTTTAATAGTTTACACGATAACGAAATACTTAGTTCTTATTTTTTTCGGCAGAGTACCTTACTCTTCCCTAGTTTTTTTTTTTAGAAATTTTGGAAGATCTGTCGATTAAATGTACTTAAAATATGCATTACAGATGAGGAAATTGTGGAGGAAATCATTCTCGATGATCTGCTGCAGTCTGATAACAATAGCGATGCCACTATTTCATTTTGAAATAGCTATTAAATCGTTTCCAAAAGCAGTATAGGTTTGCAATTTCTTTTCTAAAAAATTAACTCTGTACAAATTGAGTGTACATTCCAATAACTGACTAGCTGTTTATTTCGAATGTTTCTGCAGACAAATCAAAGCAATAAAAACATCTTTTGACAAATGTAATGGGCAAATTAATAGAAATAAATGTTTTCGTACTCAAATACTTAGAATTATGAAAATTCGATTTCAAACAAACTAAACGCAAAAACAAAGCGAAAACAGAAAATTCATTAGAAGCTTACAAATATATGTAACTTTTAAACATACAAAATCCCAAGAAATCGTCGTGAAACAGAAGATGCGAAATGAGATCACTAACTAACCTGTAGAAGAACAATCATTAAGATTAACCAATCAATACCATTTAATAAATTTCTTATCAATATGACTGGCAGTACGCCAGACACGTCCGAATGAAACCCCTCAGAATCACGATAACAATAAAAACAAAGATCTAAATTTAAACGTTTAAATTAGCCAACTAGATAATTAAGCTGTCAGTGGGTCCAACAGAAAATACAGATACAAATTTCATAAGATAAATTTTTTTAAAATGATTAGTTCTGAGAATTAGAAACAAGCTAACTTGAAAAAAAATTTGACACAAGAAAGAAATGAAATTAACATTAAAATTATATATATATATATATATATATATATATATATATA